CCACCTTTCCAGCCCCATACAATCTGAATTTTTGCAGGTTCCCTTGATGCTTAATTTTCATAGGATAAATGTAATTGGTTGACTTGTTGAGGTAGAATGAAACACAGTATTTTTCAAATGTGACTGTAATTAGATTACCAAATAATAAGAGCTTAAGATGTAACTGTAGAAGCTGTTCAGGAGATTTATATTTTAACAGTGTAAGAAATTTTGACTTGTGTTTTCAGTATCTTTATAAAGACTGAAAGGCTGATCATTAAATTTGAGTGCCAAATTTTGCAAGTTACTATTATGATATAACATTCATTCTTGTGATTTTGAAATGATAACAGAGGCTTTTGTATTAGCATATATTTATGTGCATTGCTTTTACTGTTCATAGTGATTTTCTTGTCAAAATTGTGGATGTGGTGGATTGTAGCCAACAGAAAACATTTCGAGGACATGATGCCCCTGTTTTAAGTCTTTCTTTTGATCCTAAGGACATCTTTCTGGTAATTATCCTCTCACCCACCCTTTTTGTATATTTCCTGAATGTGTATAAAGTTATTTTCATCCTGTTGTGAAAGGTTATTTGGTTGAATCAATTGAACCAATTTCTGTGTTGTTTTATAGCTGTAATTTTAGGGAAATGTGTTTTTTATTCCTTCAGGCATCAGCTAGCTGTGATGGATCTGTCAGAGTGTGGCACATCCCCGATCAGGTAAATTCATCAATTTAAATTTAAAACTGTTTTTGTCAATTTCTGTCTTATAGTGGCTGTCACATATTTTATTATTAGCCCAAAATACTTTTTTTGTTGCGTGTTTCAGGTAGTTTTAGTATTGTTTTTCTGATTAAATTGTAAAATTGTAGAACAATGTGAAAGACTGATTGCTTTTATGCCTAATCACAAAGGGAATGATTTATTTATATTTTCTATATATGTTAACAATTAACTACCATATGTTGGGTTTTGTATTGGACGTTAGTGGTACAAACACAAGGCATAGACCATACTTAGAGAATTACATATGCATCTGACAGTAGGTTTTAAAGGATATGTGAAGAAAATGCTCTCTGGATTGATAAAGGGAACAGTTAGGTCTTCGTGAGGCAATTAGACCATATTTGGAATTTTTGAAGTAATGTGGCTGTTCCAAAGAATTTCTGCACAGATATGCCTTAGTAGCCACAGTTCATTCCCTCATTCTTAAAATATTTAGTTCTGACTTTAACCCCTTAACGTTTTATAGTAAACATTTCAAGTTTTTGTAGACATATTAAAATTTTAATATACTGAGGGATTTTTTTTTCTGCTTACATATTTATTCAGTGAGTATATGGTATATTGTTTGCCTATTCTGCACAGAAAATACTCTTATTTGAGACGTAATACTCTTATTTAAGACATGTATATGCAAATATGTTTAAGACTTGTATATCTGAAGAACTTGGAACAATTTAGGTTAAAAAAGTTTTGTAATCAAAGTAATAAATTGCTTTTTCTGAGATATATGTCAGTTTGAAGAAACTGCCTATTAAATGAATTGTTTGGGGGGAGGTATCATAAAAGGAAATAAATTTTCTTTTCTAAAAATTCAGACATGTGCTATTAGTTGGCCACTACTACAAAAATGCAACGATGTGGTAAATGCAAAATCCATCTGCAGACTTGCTTGGCAGCCAAAAAGTGGAAAGGTAAATAGCTTTTATTTTTGAACCTTTAACTTACCTCTTACAGTTCTTGTAAACTTTCAGTGTAAGAATAGTATTTTTAATTAAAATTTTCATTTGAATTATAAATTTTAGAACCCTATGACAAATAATTAATATTGAATATATATGTATATTTTTTTTGGTCAGTCATGGGGCTTGAACTCACTGCTTGAGCACTTTCCTTGAACCTCTTTGTGGTCAAGGCTAGTGCTCTACTACTTCATCCACAGCTCCACTTCCAAAATATTTCGATTTTGTTTTTGAGGGGTCCGGTCGTGGGGCCTGAACTCTGGGCCTGGGCGCTGTCCCTCAGCTCTTCAGCTCAAGGCTAGCGCTCTACCACTTGAGCCACAGCACCACATAAGCAAAAAGAAAAAAGCCGAAGTGCCGTTATGGCTCAAGTGGTAGAGCGCTAGCCTTGAGCTGAAGAGCAGAGGGACAGCACCCAGGCCCAGAGTTCAGGCCCCACGACCAGACCCCCCCAAAAAAAAAACAAAAAAAAAGACCAACCTGAGCAAAAAGTTCTCAAAATCCCATCTCAACCAATAAAAGCTGGGTGTGGTAGCTGTGTCTGTCATTCGAGCTAAATGAACAACAGAAGAATCCTGTGAACATATTCATACATCTGCACTGCAGAGTATATAGAACAAAAATATTGCACCATGTGGAAGATTTGGAACATCTTACTTGTTCATGTATAGAAAACTGGCTAAATTAATTGTGGGTAGTCCTGAAAGTGAAATTGTCTCTAATTGCTAGAATGAAGATCTTTTATCTCCTTCTAGGGAATGATCTTTTAGATGCACTGTTATGTAAAAAGATTAAGCTATAGCAGGGCAGGTATCAGTAGGATGTTAATGCTTATTAATAAAGAGTGAAAGATTGCCAGGTGCTAGTGGCTCACACCTGTAATCCTAGCCATTCAGGAGGCCAGCCTGGGCAGTAAAGTCTGTTGACTTCTCTCCAATTAACCATCAGAAAACTGGAATTGGAGCTCAGAGTGGCAGAGTGCTAGTTTTCAGGGGGGAAAAAGGCTTAAGGACAGTGCCTAGGCCCTAAATTCAAGCCCCACAACTGACAAAAAAAAAAAAGTAATAATAAATAAAATAAAATAGAGTTAAAGATGTCTAAGAAGTTACTTTTCCATAAATAGTTAAGTATATGCATTCCTATATACTCTGTTTATTTGCCATTGGATAGAAGTAGGATTTAGGGATGGAAGATTTTTTTCAGAATATATGCTTTGTGTTATGTTACTTTTTTTATTATTATTATTTGGTTGTGGGGCTTGAAATGAGGCCTGGTCACTTTTCTGCTCAAGGTGAGCACTCTACCACTTTGAGCCACAGCTCCACTTCTGGGTTTTTGGTGGTTAATTGGAGATAAGAGTCTCATGGACTTTTCTGCACAAGCTGGCTTTGAACCTGGATCCTCAGATCTCAGCCTCCTGCTTAGCTAGGATTATGGGTGTGATCCACCAGCGCCGAGGTCATGTCAACTTTGAAGAGTGTACATTCTGTATGAAAGTAATCATTGAGCTCAAAGAGAATCCAGTATACTTTGGTACTTTTCTCTGCTGGTAATCTAATTGGAAGTAAAGCTAATATTAATAATTCATTTTTATAAGCATGGAAAAAGTACTTTGTTTTGTTTTGGTGCTGGGCCTCATGAATGCCAAATGTACACTCTGCCACTGAGCTACATCCCCAGTTCCTACAGTATTTATTTATTTATTGCTAATCTGGAATTTGGAGGAATTATGTAAGAAGTTAATTTTTTCTCTTTTTTTGATTCCAGTACTAGGGCTTGAGCTTAGTGCCTCATACTCTCACTTGGCATTTTCTCTCAAGGCTGGCTCTCTTCTACTTAAACCATACCTCCACTTTGGGCTTTTTGCTAGTTAATTGGAGATAAATCTCATAACCTATTCACTGGGCTGGCTTTGAACTGAAATCCTCAGGTCTCAGCCTCTTGAGTAGCTAGAATTACTGACGTGAGCTATCAGCATCCAGCTTAGAATTTTTATTTTTATTTTTCGTTTATGAGGCTTGAACTCTGGGTCTGGATGCTGTCCTTCAGCTCTTCAGCTCAAGGCTAGCGCTCTACCACTTGAGCCACAGTGCCACTTCCAGTTTTCTGAAGGATTTATTGGATTTAAGAGTCTCACGGACTTTCATGCCCAGGCTAGCTTTGAACAGCAGTCCTCAGATCTCAGCCTCCTAAGTAGTGTGAGCAGCGCCCGGCTGAGCTTAGAATTTTTTAACTTTGTTATTTTTGTTTTTGTTCCAGTACTTGGGTTTTAATTTAGGGCCTCATGGTCGTGTTTGGCCTTTTCATGTAAGGCTGGTGCTCTACCACATAAGGCACAACTCCACTCTATAAATTTCTCTTTTCTTTGCATTTTTGATATTCAAAGGATTCAGATTTCCTTTTAGGAAAATGAGCTGAATATTGAGATGCAGAACCTAGATTCCCTTAGAAATAGCATTAAAAATACTATTAAGCCAAGTGCTGGTGGCTGACACTGTCATCCTAGCTACTCAGGAGGCTGAGATCTGAGGATTGAGGTTCGAAGCCAGTCTGGGCTATGAGAATTTATCAATTAACCACAAACGCCAGAATTAGTGTTGTGGTTCAAGATGTAGAGTGCTGCCTTGAATACAAAAGCTCAAGGACAGGGCACAGACCCAGAGTTCAAGTCCCAGGGCTGGCAAAAATAATAATGCAGCTAAGTATTGTCTGTTTTTTATTCCCAAATAGTAAAATGATCATCCATGGGTTTTTTTTTTTGAAGTCTTCAACTTTTTTTAATTGAATTTTATTGTAAAGTTACCTGAGTGAGGTAATGAGTACATTTCTTTTCATACATTGTCACCCCCTCCTTTGTTTTTTTCTTACTTTCCCTTCCCTCTCCCACTTCCCCTATTCTCCCCCCATCACCCATGTTTTTTATTTCAGTATTTTAAATAATTTTTGTTTTGTTAGATTCAATTAAAATTAAAATTTCTTTATATATTTTTTTGTCGGTTGGGGGGCTTGAACTATGGGCCTGGGCACTGTGCCTGAGCTTTGCAGCTCAAGGCGAGAGCTCTACCACTTGAGTCACAGCGCCACTTCCAGTTTTCTGGTGGTTAATTGAAGATAAGAGTCTCACAGACTTTCTTGCCCAGGCTGTCTTTGAACTGTGATCCTCAGATCTCACCCTCTTGAGTGGCTAGGATTACAGGCATCAGTCACTGGCACCTAGCTTCCTTATATGTTTTATAAATGTATGTATGTTTTATAAATTTATCCTCTTCAAATTGAACTTATATAAACTTTTGTTTAAATTTTGTATTTTCTAATAGTTACTCGCAATTCCTGTGGAAAAATCTGTAAAATTATATAGAAGAGAAACATGGAGTAATCAATTCGATCTTTCAGATAGTTTCATCTCTCAGGTAGGTTTTGTGACACTTTCAGGAGACCATAGGAATACTTAATGGCTACTCCACCAAATACTGTTGCAGTGGGAAGTGGAGAAAAGTTTCCCACTATTTGCACATATGCGCACGTGTGTGTGTGTGCGTGTGCGCGCGCGCGCGTGTGTGGGTGTGTGTGTTTTAAGAAAAAAGACTAGCCTTCTCCATGGTGAATTGCTAACTCTTCTTTTTTTTTGGCTAGTCCTGAGGCTTGACCTCGGCCTGGAAACTGTCCCTGAGCTTCTTTTGCTCAAGGCTAGCACTCTGACACTTGAGGCATAGCACCACTTCTGGCCTTTTCTGTTTATGTGGTACTGAGGAATTGAACCCAGGGCTTCATGCATGCTAGGCAAGCACTGTACCACTAGGCCACATTCCCAGCATTTGCTAACTCTTACATGACCTTTCTCTTATATGTTTTGATAAGGAAAAAAGTACTTTTGAAGTCTAAAATCAAATTTAACCCTAGCTTAATAATTAGAGCAATTAATTTTTGTTTTTATTGTAAAGTAAGTGGAATTTTAGAGCAAGAAAGGTTAGTAAGTTCTTCTTGCTTATTCTCTAGTCTCTGTCATTTTCAGATCTTAAATTTTAGAGCAAGGAAAGTTATTGTAGTTCTCTCTTTTAGACACATGCACGTGTGTACACACACCCATACCCACATGATTTTTTTTTTTTTTTTTGGGTCGGTCATGGGTTCTAAACTTTAGGCCTGGGCATTGTCTCTCAGTTCTTCAGCTCAAGGCTAGTGCTCTACCATTTGAGCCGCAGTGCCACTTCTGGCTTTTTCTGCTTATGTGGTGCTGAAGAATGGAACCCAGGTCCTCATGCATGCAAGGCAAGCACTCTACCACTGAGCCACCTTCCCAACCCCCCCTCCCCCACATGATATTTTAAATATAAATTTTATTTTCAAAGTGATATACAGAAGGGTTACAGTTCTATAAGTAAGGTAGAGAGTACATTTATTACCTCCTCCCTCATTTTTTCCCTACCCACATATTTTATAATTAAGGAATCATAGACTCAGTAGGTGAATACTGACTTAAGAAGGATCATTTACTTTACTTATTGGTTGTCTTCATCTTGATGGTGAATGAATGGTAAGAGGGTACCTTGTACTGTCTATTTCCAAGATGATTTATTTTTAGATTTTACATTTTTCTTTTACTCTTTTTTTTTTTTTTT